TGAGTGAACGTGGGAACGTTTCATGTAGCTGAAAAAGGGGGTGGGAGGCCTGATTCCGTCTCCTGCTGTCCCTGCCAGGTGACAGGCTTTCAGCAGGCCACCAGAGGTGGCTGAGAAGGACAGCTTTATTTTCAGGAGGGCTCATAGTTGTTTGTCACCTTGATGTCCAGATACATATTGCATTAAAAGAAGAGTTTAATACTACCTCTTTGACATGGGACTTTATGGCAGTTATGCAGATGGTTATGTATTTTTCACTTGAAAGAAAAGTCAGTGGATCATTGTTTGAAGCAGGTGTTTAGATGGACCTCTCAGAGGTGCCCCTGGGTTGCCCAGCATTGCCAGGCCCATCAGTTTGGAGGGGAACCAGCAGAAATAGCGTCAGAGTTCCCAGGATTTTCATCATTACAACAGATTTCATTGTAACTGTGGATTTCTTTAATTTAGACATTTCTGACATCTCACCTCTGCCCTGATGGGTGACCAGTGTGAACTGTTAATCACTTGTACCTTTACCTCTTTTCACCAGCGAGCGACGAATCGAGTCGCGACTCCGAAGTTGCTCCGAGAGAGCACATTGGCCCCGGGAGCTCCATACAGCCCCGGGAGGAGAAGCAGGAACCAGTGGTGGTTCGGCCATATCCACAGGTTCAGATGCTGACACAGCACCACCCTGTCCAGTCTGGTGCCCCAGTGACAGTGACAGCACCACCAGGACATTTGACTCCAGCTGTGCCACTTTCCTTTTCAGAGGGACTTATGAAGGTAATGAGTCACAGAGGGGAAAAAATACAATCTATATTATGTGTTGATATACACTCTATAGTGTTGAGAAAAAATAAATGACCCCAGAAGTTCTCTTTTGTTTCTGAAGCTTTCCTTGCATGCTTCCACTGCCTCAAGCATTTTGCTGTTCTAGATGTTACCCTGGGGACTTTGTTGTATCACAGTGTTATTTTTGAGGGGATGTTTTTTGTTTATCACTTCAGAGAACAGAGGTTTCAGTCAGTTTCTGAAATCTTCCCTTCTCCTTTCGGACTATCAAAGTAACTGTTAATGCCTGGGGTCTGTAAGGGAATACCAGAGCCATGACAGGTTCCACTGGTGACTCGTGCTGTATGATAGAAGCTGCATATTGCCAGGACTAAAGATGTCTTTTCTTTGCCCCTTTCTTTTTTGGAATAACTCTGAATGTCCAGTATCTTTCCAACTGACTTTCTCCCCAGGCTTTGCCCCCACAAAATGATTTCTGCTTTAACACTGAGCTCTCATTTGAAATTGCCAACATGTCTTTCTGTTTCTTGTAGCCTCCCTTGAAGCCCACCATGCCCAGCAGGCCCATTGCTCCTGCTCCACCCTCTACTCTCTCAGCTCCCACAAAGGTCCCTGGGCAAGTGACTGTCACCATGGAAAGCAACATACCCCAGGCTCCAACTATTCCTGTGGCAACAATCAGTGGGCAACAGGTCTGGGTTTTTTGGTGTTTTCTTGGGGTTTTTTTCAGTTCCAGCTCACTGCATGATCAGGTCAATACTAATATTGGTACAGCTGAGGTGGGCTGTTGCAGCAGGAGGGAAGGCAAACAGAGCAGACTTCCCCATTCAGTGGCAGATGGGTGTTGATCAGTTCTGCTTGGAGCATTAAACTTCAGTTATCACCATCTCTTTAGGAAGCTGCTGATTTGCTGCAGTCATCCAACTGAGGTAGCACAGTGAGGCTGTGATGGCAGAGCCATACCCAAAAGCTGAGTCTTTCCTTAAGAGCTCCTGCTGTGTCAGTGTCACTTGGAGAACTTGCACTGTAGGCAAACTGCTGAGATTCATCACTTCAGTGTTCTTCAGCTCTCCTGGGAGCAGATGAGATTAGCAAACAGTTCACGGGCTTGCAGTGTGCTCTCACTGAGCCACCAGTGACAGAATTTGGATGAGGTGCCTGTGTAGAAATGCTTTAGAAGAAAACATCCCCACTAACTTTGGCTGCAGAGACAGTCTTTGTGATTTGAAACTAGTTTGCCACAACACTCATGCCTAAACCTCTGGAGTCTTGGGGTTTTGCTGTAAAGTACCTTTAGATAGATTTGAGTTAGTCTGGCTAAGGATGTGCAACTGTTTCAGTGGGTTTATCTTTTATTAGTATCCCTGGGAAGTCCAGAATTATAAGGCAATAGAATTTATTGCAGCATTTATTGGAGGGGTGGTATGAATCTATTCCCTAATGTCACCAGAGGCAGAAGGGCCATCTCTGTGGTTGGTTGTGGGTGACTGCTGAGTGACTGTCATCCAAGTACCAGCCATAAAAACAGATCAGTGACACAGGGAAGCATTTACATCCTCTGATGTAAGCAGGCTCTGTAACTTTATCCTGTAGAAACACCTGCCTCTGTCTCCACTCACCTTGCAATGCATGCTGCCTTGATACACACAGTATTGTTCCAGAATCTCTTTTCTCTCATTGGGACTTAGATATGGTAATGGTGTGGCTGTTAATTCTTGTTAACACAGCTGACTGTTACTTTGTTCTTTAACTCCACAGGGGCATCCCAGTAACTTGCATCATATCATGGCCACCAACGTGCAGATGTCCATCATCAGGAGCAGTGCTCCTGGGCCTCCACTGCACATTGGAGCTTCTCACCTACCCAGAGGTAAAGCTCCAGCTGTGCTCTCCCTGCCTTGTGGTCACAGCCTCTCAGCTGATGCATCTAGCCCTCACCTCTGAAGTTCTCCTCACTACTAACAGCTGCTTCAGCTGTTCTAACTGCTGGCATAACTGGGTGACTGCTGGTTTCTTAGGAGTTATGTTGCTTTCAGTCGTTTAGGGCAGGGCCATGTGACAGTGTTTAAAATGCTAGCAGATGCCATCACATCTGTTATTCTAGTTTTGTGCTGTTAAAACAGGCAATGTTTTCAAGAAAAAATATCCACTGGTATAGTGGACCTGGTCACTGGACCTGTCCTGCAAAATGTTCTTGGTAGGAAATGTTGCTAACCTATGGCAGTGGCACCTGTTTTGAGGCACATTCTTCTGCCCACCTGTCACAGGATCACTAGTGCATTTTTGTGCATGCTAACATAGATTGTGTGTGTTTGCATTTACCCTGAGTTAAATGCTAGTGATAACTACAGCTCTTGTCTCCCAGTGTATTATTTGTTATAGCTTGTAAAACAGATTTGCCCCTTAAAGCAGCCCTGTGCTTAGTGCAGCCTGATTCTTGTCTGCAGGTTTGATTTCAAAAACTTACAGGTTAGGTTTTTAGTTCAAATAACATTTGTTATTTTTATTTCTTTTTGTATTCAATGTTATTTGGTCACTCGAGAAAAATAAATTGACACGAACAAAGACCTAATCTTCTTTAAGTAGAGCAGGTGGAAGGACTGTGCAGATTTATTTGTAGCTGAAGTAAAACGTAGTGTTGTCCACTTGATTCTTGTGGGACAGCTGCTGCAAACTTGGACTGGCACTTAGTGCACGGGTTTTTTTCTTCCTACTCTTTTTTTCTCAACTTGAATATTAACTTTTGAAGTAACAATTTCAATTAGGGACATCTACAGAAGCTATGCAGTCTAGTCCATTAACAGATTGCAAGGCTATTTGCTTTCTAGAGTGATATCTCATGGTCAGGAGTCATCAAACAGTAGAGAAATTAATCAGTTGCAGGTTTAAATGGTGTGGAGTTTTAGTTTGGGGGTGGCAATGTGTGGCTGTTTCGTTTTGGTGGTTGGGTTTTTTTTTGTTTTCTCCTATTGCACGTGTATTTTTCCTTCTGAACCTCATCAGGTGCAGTGAGATCATTGCTGGTATCAGGTGACTTATTTACACATTAGCCCAGTAATCAAAGTGAATTCTTTCTTTAGCTTGGAGTAAGAAAACATTGGATTTGTAATATACAGTTATTATAGGGAAATTAGAAATACCACTAAAGCAGATTTAAAATAATGCTTACCCTTCCCCACATACCTTTATGAACCTTACATATGCTTGTTGGAAGCCTTATTTTTAAACCAGTGTCACCTGAACTAACATACACATGAGATGCATCAGAATTGAAATACACACCAGCTAGCATCAGGGTCTCTGGCTGTGGCAGTGCCATTGGGTGTGCAGGATATTAACACTCTTGGTTTTGTTCCCCAGGTGCAGCAGCTGCTGCAGTGATGTCCAGTTCTAAAGTGACTACAGTCCTGAGACCAGCTTCCCAGTTGCCAAATGCAGCCACAGCTCAGCCAGCAGTTCAACACATCATTCACCAGCCAATCCAGGCAGGTAGCAGCCAGGGAGCTCTGCACAACACTGACTGCCAGCTCCAGACTCTTCCTGGCACACACCTGTAATGTAGAACCTCTAATTGCCTATTTTCTGAGCTGAGGCTACTGCCAATTTTCTTTATTTCCCTAGACTTGATGCCAGGAATGGGATTTCTATCAGTCTCCAAAGTGCTTAGAAGCTGGAAGAGTGCTTAGTTCAGATATGCTCAAGTTTTAAAGTCTACAAAGTCCAGTGCTATGTGCTGGTGGTGATTTATTCTTCAATGTATGAATTGATGTAGAATTTTTAGAATCTCATTGTATTATGCTTCTTTATATCTCAACTTATATACATATATGAATGTTGTAGATACAATCTCCCTACACTAGTGCTGGTGTTCAGCGCTAGCATAGCGAGTTAAACATCTTTGCTTTGTGCTTTCAGTTAGGATTGCAATGGAATCACCTTTGATCCAAGCATAACAGGAACCCAGGGTTTCCTTTCATTCTGAAGGGAACTGACCTTTAGGTTTTTTCCTAAAGAGACCTTCAAGGGATCTTGAAGGTTAACAAGACCTAAGTCTTGTTGATTACTTATTCCTATGATGTACCTGCACTGAAAACCAGGACGTACCTGCTCAGGAGCTTGCAGATAATTCAGAAAGACTGGAAGTGCCTTAGAATGCCAAAACATAGGATAAGGTGTAGGAAAGCCAGTTTTAACCAAGTAATCTCAGTTATTCTCTAAACAGCAGAATTTCCTTCCTGACTGTTCTCTCTTTGACTCTCTCTTATAGTCTCGTCCTCCTGTGACAACTTCGAGCACGATTCCTCCTGCAGTGGTGGCAACTGTCTCAGCCACGAGAGCTCAGTCCCCTGTTATAACCACAACAGCAGCACATGCCACAGAGTCAACCCTCAGGTAAAATCCACGGTGTTCTGACTTGGCAGAGGCTGCAGCAAGGGGAAACATATGTGAATCATCCAGAGCTTTTGGATGATATAATACCAAAATAATAATGCTTGCACAGTGCAAATGCGTTCAGTTCTGTGAGCAAAAATTAGTACAAACATGAAGTGTTGCTCTGTGTTCTGAGAAGGAAAGACCTTAATGAGTCAGTTTTGAAGTCCTGCTCCCTGGACAGCTGAGCTTCTGTTGCAGAAACTTGTGGCTAATTCAGCCCGTCTCTTCTTATGAAGACGGTGAAAAGTGACACATGAATGTTGCACAGGATCCCTGACAGCAAGTCTCCTAGTGAACTGATAAAGCTATTGATAAGGTTGCATGTGTAGGGTGGATGAGAACAGAACAGTGTAGTTCAGGTTACTTCAGTTGCTTTACCCTGTGCTTGACAGCACTGCTGCTACCATGGGAGGAGACTGAGGGCTGGTGTTTGTCCCTGTGTATTACCTTCATGGTTCCTTTTCTGTCCTTGCAGTCGGCCCACGCTGTCCATCCAGCAGCACCCGCCGTCTGCCGCCATCAGCATCCAGCGGCCCGCGCAGCCCCGGGACAGCGCCACGCGCATCACGCTGCCCTCACACCCGGCCATGGGCACACAGAAGCCTCAGCTCCACACCATGGCTCAGGTAAACTGCAGGAGGAAAACACACCCTCTTGCTGCTTTGAGAAGGCTCTTTTGTTTATATCTTCAGGGCTAAAATTAGCTTTGGGACGAGAGTGTTAGGTTAGAAATTCATGTTTTGTACTATCAATGCAACGTGATTCCATACTAGCTATAGATTTTAAATGTAGTCTTTTAACTTTGAGGATTTATTTTCTTTTCATAGAAAACCATTTTCAGTACTGGTACTCCAGTGGCAGCAGCAACTGTGGCACCTATTTTGGCAACAAACACCATTGCTTCAGCAACCACAGCAAGTGAGTGTTCATAATGTTGCTGTGGGAGCAGGGTCGGGTGGGGGGTGGTTGTTGCTTTTTGTGGGTTTTCCTCTTTGAATATGGAACCCAATCGTTTTTGAGGAATTCTTTGTTTATGGTCAAGACTGCATTTGGAAGTGCCTCAGAAAGCATCAGGGTAGAAATTGCTGTGTTCTTCAGGGAGATTGTCTGATTTGGGGGCTTTCCCCTCTATTTGGACAGTGCTACACTGGCATGGTGGAGCTCCAAAGAAAGATCTCTTATTAATGTTTTTTTCTTTAGGTTCTGTATCTCACACCCAAGCGCCTACAAGCACCATTGTTACCATGACAATGCCCTCACATTCTTCCCATGCTACAGCTGTCACGACCTCAAACATCCCAGTTGGTGAGTGATTTCAGTTTTAAGAAGAGTATGTAACTGCTGCTGCAATCTTCCTGTTCGTGCTGGCAGTGTTTGTGCATGTTATCAAATTAAGGAGGGGAAGAAAATCAGTTCAAGCTGGCTGAAACCAATTGACAGGTCTGCTCTGATATAACTTTTCTTAATACCAGGAAGAAATAGAAATTCTAGGAGGAGTCAGTAATAAAATGGCTCATTTACTTTCTCTTGAATTTTTTGGACAAACTTGGGCCTTTTGGCACTTCAGAACCTGCATTGTATGTGCTAAAAATTGCATCTGTTTGGTGATAGAATATGGCTTTCGTAGTTGATTTTGTAAGTTACTTGCTGTGCTTCTTGAGGCAATAGGTGTAGCCTAATCGAATTTGATCAGTGTGTTCATTTGGAGGTCTTAAGGTCTAAAGGTGAGAACTTTATTTGCCCGGATGTGGAATCTGCCTGAGATGTTTCCTAAAGAATTGCCTTGTTCATCCCTGTTTTTCTGGTGACCTCTTTGTGCTTTTGAACTCTTGTAATATCTTTTCCTACCATAAACTTCCAAGGAGTGAAGTTATATCTGCCTACATCAGTTTCCTCTAAAGCTTTTGTAGGTGTTTTCTGTCCTTTCATGGCCTCTGTCTATGTATCCTTGTCTGCCTTGATCTCTGTCAAGTTCTGCTTGCAAAACTTGGATAAATAAGTTCTTGACAGCAGAATGGATTGGGCTGATCCTAAAGTTCATTTGAGCACTGGAGTAACTTTGTTAGCAAGTGTAATTTAAACACATATTTAGAATGTCCATCTAATCTGGTATAAATTGATGAGAAATGCTTTATTCCTTCTTTCTGCCTGTTAAGGAAACTTATCACTGGACAGGAAATCATTTGGGGATGGGGTGGGTTGTTTTGGGTTGAAAGGGAAGGGAGGAGTATTGCTTGTTTTGCCAGGATAATGAATCTTGCCTTTGCAATGTTTACCAACTTTTCCTCTGACTGTCAATTGATTACATGTTTGTCTTTATGCAGCTAAAGTTGTTCCCCAGCAAATCACCCACACTTCTCCCCGGATCCAGTCTGATTACACAGCAGAGAGAAGTAACCTCATACCTCTCTCCAGCCACAGGGCATCTCCAAACCCAGTCGCCATGGAAACCAGGAATGACAACAGGTGGGGAGAGAACAGCTGTATGAGTGAGTGTGTGTGAGTAGGCTTTGAGTGCCCTCCTGCTTTCCTGGGTCCTGATAGGCTGGAAATCATGTTTTTAAAACCCAGAGTGGGGGGATTTGGCAATTTTGAATTAATCATCATAGTTGAGATACTTAATAGTTTATGATAGATGAGATTGCAAAACACAGGGAGTGGGCTGAAGGGGTTGAAGGTGAACTGTTGGACTGGTGTGTGTAACACTTCTCACTTTGATGCCTGCAGGCAGTCGGTGCCTGTCCAGTTCCAGTATTTCTTGCCTACATACCCCCCCTCTGCCTATCCTCTGACTGCACACACCTACACCCCCATCACCAGCTCCGTGTCCACCATCCGCCAGTACCCAGGTAAGACCAGCTTGGTTCTGCTCTTTCTGCTCTTGTCTTCTCTATGAGCTTCAGTGAGGGAGGAAGCTAACAGGCTTTTTTGCTTGATTCTGAAAATTTGGCACAAAAAGTCTTAAACTTGTTGGCTGAGGGGAAAACTCATGGGCAAAGGCTATTGAACTACTTCAGAGTAAGTAACTAGTAAGTTTTCTCAGGTGTTTCACATTTGCTATCCCAGGGTTTGCATCTCTGTAACTGAACAGTTCGACTCGTCCAAACCAAGCCAGCTCTTTTATTCATCTCCATTCACTGGTGTTCTGACAAACCCTTTTAATCTCTTTCCACATAAATGTACAGTTTGAGAGAGAAAACTGAACCAAAAAGGGAAAAAGTGAGCTGCATTGCACACTTGCAGTAGTGTTCTGTTTCGAAGAATGGAGCAATTAATGTATTTGAGCTGTTGCAGTAAATTGCAGTCAAAAAACCAATGTGTAATGTGAGCCCATGTAGTCAACCCAAACTTATGTCATTCTGTGACAAAATGTTGGAGCATTTTTACCTTACTGTGTGGTTTAGGACTGTTCTCTAATGTGGTAATTTCCAGTTTCCAGACTGTATAAACACGCATGGTTTGGATTTTCATGGAATATCTGTGTCTGCAGGCAGCATGTTACCCATGGGCAATATAGAGGGAATTGTTAAGGACTTGGAAATGGCAAAGCCATTAGTTGTAATGGGAAAGTATAGAATCATAGAGCTGTTTAGGTTGGGAAAGACCTTTAAGATAAAACCATTATCTCAGCACTGCCAAGGCCACCACTAAACCTTGTCCTCAAGTGCCACATCCACATGTCTTTTAAACCCCTCCAGGGGTGGTGACTCCTGCTGCCCTGGACAGGCTGTTCCAATGAAGAATTTTTCCCTAATATACAATCTAAACCTTCCCTGTCAGGAAATGATTGGACACAGTCAGGGGTTGCAGTTCTGTCAGCCTTCTGGGATGATGGTGGGCTAATGCTAATTTATGAAAAAAGCAGATGTAGGTTCTTCATCAGGAGCTCATTGACACAGACGTTTTGCTTGTTAAATCAACTTGAAGCATCAGTGGAATGTATGAATTATGGCGACTGGTGGTGACAGTTCAAAGCAGAGGATTCAGGGTATGAGGAGGGACATGAGCATAAGCCAGGTGAGGGCTGAGATAAAAGTACAGAGGACACTTTTTGAAAGATAACTGAGGTAAGAAGAGTTAATGCAGAATTTTGGAGGAATAATGTTAGCTTTGGCTTTCCAAATGCTGGTTGTGTTTTACATAGTATCCCAAAAGGATTTTGTTGGATAGAAAGTTTTGCAACAACAATGTTTTGTGTAAGGTGTACCATTAAGAGAATTAATGTGCCATACTTTATACTGAGCCACTTTCAGAGACCTGGTGCAGATTTCAGGGGGTTGACAACTGTTTTTAGAGTGTCTTGTCAGCACAAGAACTTGATGGAAATCCTATGACAATGACAAAACCAGCTTGTTCTGCATTGTTAACAAGCAAGGCCATTGTTGACAAGTTCACACTTGCATTCTGTGTGTGATTGCAGAAATCCTGGTGCAGCTCTGTAGCAACTGGAAATCTGGAGATCCAGATGGTCTAACAGTGTTGTTGAGTCCTGCCTGGGAGAACTAATACGCCACATAGTGGATCTGGAGAGATGGAATCATAGTTGTTTAGAGCTGTAAATTATTTTAATGGATTGAATTTCTTGGAGCACATGTTTCCTTGGGAAATTTGCCACTAAAAGATTTCATGTTCGTTTGAGGTGTGGGATCCACCTATAACTATGAGCCTTGTTCTGATCCGGATGAAGTTGTACTCAACTTCAGACTATAAAAAATGACTTAGGCTTCTGATTATTTATTTTTTAAAATCTATTTTTTAAGCAGAGAAATTGCCAAATGCTGGTACTTACAAGCATTGTAAAATAAGCTAGTGAGCCAAAACAGTGCACAGCTTTCTGAGACTGGAAGCAGAGTACAGAAACGTGATTTGAGTCTAACTAAAAGTAAAGTTAAACTTGATCTTTTCTCTCCTGTTGTAATTTGAAATAAAAATGGAATGAAAATAAACAGTAATGTTTAATTTTTCTGGCAGACAATCCGGCGTCTCCCATGTCAAATTTACTACTGCCGCAAACAGCCTGGCAAGTTAATTTTTCTAAGCAAAAAATAGTCTGTGAAAGTTAGTATTTGAGTCCCAGGTGATAGGGGAAACCGAGGCGACCTTGATGGCCTTAAAGGTCTCTTCCAATCGTGGTGATTTATGGTTCTGTGACCTGCTGGGCAGGTGTGACAAGATGTCTGTGTTGCCGTCCCCAGTTTCAGCCCAGGCACCCAACTCGGCCATCACGGCTCAGACCGGCGTGGGAGTGGCCTCCACGGTGCACCTCAACCCCATGCAGCTGATGACGGTGGACGCGTCTCACGCGCGGCACATCCAGGGCATCCAGCCCGCGCCCCTCGGCGCCCAGGGCATCC